GAAAGGGGAAACTGGATATTCCAATCAATTCTAGCCTCCATTGGAAAAGTCCTGTCCCAGCCAACCTGATATGTTTTCACAATAGGCCAAGAGAGAAAAGTTTGTCAGGATCAGGAACAATGGTTAGAGCAGTGTTTCTCAACCTTGACAATTTTAAGGCATGTGGACTTCAACTCCCAGAATTCCACAGCCAGCATTGCTGGCTGTGGAATTCTGGGAGTTGAAGTCCACATGCCTTAAAATTGTCAAGGTTGAGAAACACTGGGTTAGAGCCTTAAGCAACATTCACTTTCTTAATAAGTAACTACTGCAATACAACAGAACAGAATAATGGAGTTGGAAGGGACCTTGAAGGTCTTGTAATCCAACCCCTTGCTCAAGCAGAAGACCTTATACCAGGGGTGTCAAACTTGCGACGTCACGTGACATCACGCAACGTATCGGGTCGATTTTGCCATTGCCGGCAATGGGGTGGGCGCGGCTTCCAGATGACGCATCCGGCCCACGGGCCGGCAGTTTGACACCCCTGCCCTATACTATTTCAGACAAATGGCTGTCCAATTTCTTCTTAAAAACCTCTAGTGATGGAGCACCCAAAATGTCTGAAAGCAAACTGTTCCATTGATTAATTGTTCTCGCTGTCTGGAACTTTCTCCTTAGTTCTAGGTTGCTTCTCTCCTTGATTAGTTTCCATCCACTGCCTCTTGTCTTGCCTTTGGTGCTTTGGAAAATAGTTGACCCCGTTTTCAAAAACAAACAAACATTGTAGCTGATATACAAATGCCTATTCAACACTGATTAAAACAACAATACCGACAACCGATGGGACAGTTTTTAAATATGGTGGATTTTTCAATCATGACATACCTACAATGCAAACCTCTCCTCCACCATATGCAGTCTTCTTAGACTTCACTGTTTTATATCCTACATTCCAGTGAGGAGTCCAAAGATCCCAGCAGATTCTTATTTAATAACTGAAGTAGCAAATAAGAGTCAACAGCCTCATGTTGCTAAGCAATGACTCTCAGCTTCTTTGTGGATTTTTTGGTTGCTATGGAGACAACAGGGTGAGCATGCACATCATACCAAATTTTGTCTTTCTTCCTTAAACAGTAAAGACAGATTTGGTCCTTCCATCAAGGAGTGCTCCAGGAATGAGAAGATATGGCTGGATCCAGCTCACAACAAGAGATACTAATCCTCCTCATGACTAAGTAGCATTTGATGGACAGCAACTTTTTGAAACTGGATCCTTTGCAACGTTCAGACCTATCATCCTTAACTAGAATTTCATTTGCCCAGATATGGTGAATACTGCAATAGGTGGAAATAGCAGACTTTTGACGACCATTTCATATTTTATTGATCTAGTTCAGTGTTTCTCAACCTTGACAATTTTAAGGCATGTGGACTTCAACTCCCAGAATTCCACAGCCAGCATTGCTGGCTGTGGAATTCTGGGAGTTGAAGTCCACATGCCTTAAAATTGTCAAGGTTGAGAAACACTGACTAGTTGCATTCACAGTGTTGATACCACTCTTAGTGTCCTGGGATGAAATAAGCTGAATGTTACATACAAGAACGCACCTGGTGGAATCCAGATGGTGCAGATAACTTTCTAATTAACTGCATTAATGGCTAGGGGCCCTCGTTAAGTTACTTTTCAGGTCTTCTTTACTCCACCTTCAAACAACTGCTTTTCTTTTCAGCAACTGTGCCCCAAATCAGTTTGCTCATCAAGACTTCAGCCATTAAGGCATGATTTTATGAGTCTTGCTTAGAGCTATTTTGCTGGTTTTCCTAACTCAGTCTTACAATTAAGAGCATATAAACGACATGTGGAATGGAACAGCAACATTCCAGCACCCCATTGTGAAATGGTGTTCTTCAATCTTTTATCAGACCATCTTATTAATTTAGTAGAGTTGCAGACAGGGCTTTGGATGTGAAAGCAGAAACATGCAGGGATACAAATGTGGCACACATCTACAGCTTCTTAAAGTAGATCATATAGTTGTTGTTTAATTCCAGAAAAAGGAATGAACTGTCGACTGTGGCTATCACCACATTTACATATTCCCATGTGGCCAAAGCATCATAACCCTACTAGACATCACTATACTTTAATTCAGTTCATCAGACTAGTCAAATATGTCTGCTCTTTTGTAAGAAAACATTGTGAATATATATCATTCACCTCAGCAGGATTCAACATCTTTTGACAACCGCATGATAGGCAGAAATTAGTTAGATGCAGGTTTACTTCATTTTTTTCCCCTAGAAAACATTAGATTTCCAGGATTAAGATTAAAAAGCAGCCTGAATGTTACTATATTTTTACTTTATTCTGTATCTTACAAGATAAAAATTATTTTCACCTGTCAGAAGTTTTTAATTTAGGAAAACTGTATTCCTGCTGTTAGACATAAAATAGAATTATAGAATTTTTCCAACTTTCTTTTACATATATTTTTCAACTGCTCAGAGCTGTACCTGAAGAGATTTGTTTCAATAAAACTAGGAGAAAAAAAGGCATGAATCAAGAAATTGTAATTTCTGTTTAATGTTTGACAAGACCATCTGATACTTTGCTTAGCAATGTACCAGTATATGTTCATTTCGAGTAAATATTAAAGATTGTTCTAATGTGCATATGTATAAGACTTTAATAAAAAAAATGCAACTTAACAGTATGGAAGTATAAGCATTTTTATAGTTCTTGTCCTCCCTTCCACCAGACACCTATAATTACACTTGAGCATGTAAGTTAAATGGATTAATAATATGAATTATTAGCTGATTTACATGAAAGTTACAGCTATGCTCTAAATCAGGCATTTCAAACTGCTGGCCCGCAGGCTGGATGCGTCACGCCGAAACTGCGCCCACCCTATTGCCAGCAACGGGGAAAAAGTCATGATACGTCGTGCGACGTCACGTGATGTCGCGAGTTTGACATGCCTGTTCTAAATTGAGTGAAGAATAGAATTTCAGATTAATTCAGTTGCACCAAGATCAACTGATCTCTGCTGAATCCAAACCTTGCTAAGCTAAAAGGAGACAGATAATTTATTTGCTTTGGAATTCCTGTTGGATTAAATGACTGAGTCCACACAGCATTCTAAGCTTTATTTAACCATAGTTATTGAACAAACCACAGGGGTTAAAGTTAGCACGATATGTTAGACTAAAACCAAATATAGCCCACCAATGGCTTTGTGTAATATGTGCTTTATGGGTTTGTGTCAGACGCATAGCGGCCAATGTAAAGGGCAACTCAGTTCAGCTGCATAGCATGCTGACTGTGAACACTGCTACTGTTGAAGAAACTCTTCCAATGCATAGTCACCCCAGCCATATTTTGTTCAGGGTCAATAAATCCACATCAAATTAATAAAATCCTGTACCACAAAGATTTCTAACTAAAGTAAGACACTTAAGGTATATTCTAAGACTTGAGCTAGACTTCAGCCTACCCCCAGAAAGCTCCTATTTGCTGTTCTTAAAGTGGGAGGGAATGAATTACTCATCTTTCTGGATGAGCTAAGCATTGAATGGTGCAGTACACTGCAGAGAGAGCCAATTCAGTACTTCAGCTTACATAATGAGACAATGACTAACTACCATCTAATCATGCTAATATTGGGCATCGTGAGGTAACTTATTCATTTTTTCAAAAGAGCCCCCCCCCATTGAAAAACTATATACAGGAATGGCGTTTCAAAGCCAGCTATTGGTATTTCATAAATTCAGAAGTGCAGGCTTCATTCTCCTTATTTGACACAGTAGAGATGGTGTGTTTTTGAGAAAAGCGATTTCAGATTATCTTTAGCAGGGGTCTTCAAACTTGGCCCTTTTATGACTTGTGGACTTCAACTCCCAGAATTCCTCAGCCAGCATAGCTGGCTGAGGAATTCTGGGAGTTGAAGTCCACAAGTCATAAAAGGGCCAAGTTTGAAGACCCCTGATCTTGAGTATTAAAAAAAAGGAGAAATTAACAGCAATGACGGTCAATAAATAAGTGACTATAGATGAAAGATAATCCAAAGTACTGTATATCAACACAGCTATTCTATCTCAGGCAAAACAAACGAGTCTCTCAGTCAACAATAAATCCAACATCCTGCGTTTTCAAGAGAATCAAGAATGGACTGATACATGAATGCGGTGAGAAACCTACAGAGGCAGGTCTATGGAGATTCTCAGTTATCCAGGTCATGGTTGTCCCAAAGGTGCTTTATTTCAAAGGAAAAACAAAGGAAGTCTAGTAGTCCTTTGAAAAAGCACTTTTGGGACAACCTATAGAGGCCTATCCATAAACTTTGCACCCTTCCTTTCAAAATGCTCCTTGTAGAAAGAATCAGAACTCCAGACTTTTCTCTCATAAAGTGCAATAGCTGACACAAAATGTACCACCATAAACGAACTCATCCTGGTCCACCAGAGTTCACGTTCCACTATCCTGACATCACATAGTCCTTCTTTCCTTCTTTCTGTCTGAAGGAAGGACCACAAAAGAATGGCATTTGGATTGAGGACCAGAGACTTCTCCCTTCACTAAATTATCCCATTATAATGTATGGTAGAACCAAACTTAACCAAACCATACTTCATTGAATGTAGAACTAAAATTCATTGCATTCAACGACTCTCTTTTGATGTTTGGAAAATCTGACTGTCCTTACATAGCGAAACAATTGCATATTTCAATTAAGTTGAAACAGATACTTTGGGAAAACTGAGGTAATTCCCCAAAGTGTCCATTTAAGATGGAAATGCATTGAACGTCCTTCTAAAATGGATAAAAAAAATGAAACTTTTTATGAACACTGCACTCTGCAACTTTTTGTTGCTGGACTCCCACATACAATTTAACAAATATCTCGGCCCCTTCCCGTTGATAAAGGTTCTTTTCTTCAAATTGCCAGAATGCTGTGACAAAGAGGCATGTTTCCAGTACTGATATAACTATTTCAAGATGCAAAACAAACAAGAAAACCAATACGCAACTTTTATTGGGTCCTAAGCATGTTCCATTGAGACATTTTGTAAACACTGTTTATTCTCTTTGTACATGGGATGTACTTAAAAGCCCATATATGAGTGTACAAGAGGATCACATTAAAACAGAATGGCATTGTAGTTAGTTATCCTATTGCAGGCTCCTCCAACTTTAAAAGCTTGCTAGGGTGGCACACAAATTGCTTTGAAACTATTGTAATACATTCCTAGCATAGGTACCGGGAATACCAAAATACATATTCTGGTATGCCATATACAAGATTGTTCATCTCTTGTAAAGCTGCCTCTCAAGATATTATTAGTTATCCAGAAAGGACCAAAGCTGAATTTAGAGAAAGGCATTTTTATATTGACTGCTCATTCCAGCCAAAATGATTGGGATTTACCCCAGTTTCTGCTATTCACTTATTTGAGGTTTTTCATCATACACAAACAGATAGCAGATCTTCACTAATTTAATACTTATTTATATTTGGTGACTTCAAGGCTCTTTAATGTTTGCATTATTCTTCTAGTTGGCTTTCTTTTTATATTAATTATGTCAATGAAGCAATTGCATGCCATAGACTTTAAGTCAGAGACCACAAGGCAGTAAAGGGAGGCTTATATGGTCAAAACATACTACAATTGTGTTGTATATGCAAGGCCTACTACAGTAAATAAGGCTTGAACAGAAATACAAAACTGTTCAGATGTTCCCATTCATTCCACAGGAACTAACAAGAAACCATGGCAAATAGCACCAAACATCTGTAAGTGCAATCAAATGTTTTTATATCAGTGTATCTATTACTTAAATTCCGTCCTGAGAATTAAATACAATATGGACAGTTCCAAACACCCCATGACTTCTTGGAATGTCCTTAGTGCCATAACCAGCACTGCATTTTTTATTAATGTAAAAAGGGAAATTAAAATCATTTTCCTTTATTCGTCACAGGAAAATGAGGAGTAAAAATTAAACACTGATACCTATTAATAGCAGCAAGATGTTCTATCAACAGCATAACCACTTTGGTACTTTTGAATTGAGAAGGCAAGTGTGTGATTGTGAACTCCTTTCGAATTTCTCCACAGAAGGAGATTTGGCTCAAAATTCCAAATGGCAAAAAGGGCACCACCCAGAAAGCGTAAGGCAAAAAGATTAATAAAAAATGAGTCACTTTGTAGCTTATTTCATAATTCTGATTTTCTCCTCCAATGCAATTACCACAGTTCTTTTCCTTGTCCTCGAGTTCCTAAAGGAACGTACTTTTCAATCATCAAAAACCTGGTGCCATCCAGTTAAGAAACTTCATGGCAAATTCAAAGCCAAGGAAGCATGCCTGGAAAAAAAATACATATTAAGTACAGACATAAATTCACATTTTTTGTGGAATATTTTATATATATTTTTCCTACAGAAGAGTTTCCATTAATAATGTGCTGTTTCATAGCATGAATTACTCTGCTTAATTGATAGATACAATGCCAACAAAATGGGGCTGTTTCAACATTAACCTCCAATAAATATATTGCATGGGCATATATAATAGCTAGGCATTCAGTCAAGAGGAACATTACTCAAAGGAGACTTGCTGGAGAGGAAGGAAGGAAAAAAAATATCAGTCTGGCAGTCTATTTCTTCAAAAGCTGCTTTGGAAGACTGGGGAATCATCCAGAATAGTATGCATGGGGATGCTGAATTCTACGTAGAAAAATTAATGACAGTCAGCTTTTCCAGTTGTCTGCAAGGGGTTTCCACTGGATCTTATGTCCTTTCAGCAACCACTTTGCTTAATGACCGGGCTGCTGGTCCAAATTGTGGTCACTAAGTAAGGACTATCTGTAATAAGCATGTTGTTGATTTATTACTGTTTCCTACTTGTTTTATTGTTTTAGTATTGCTGTACATTAGCTACAGTTGCTCGGATGACAGAAATGGCTTCTAAATTCAACTAATGGAACTGAAGAAACCTGTAAATCAAATACAGAAGTCCAACTAAAGGTACTATACTTTTGATGTAAAATTGGCCAGAAGTACAGTATAAAAAATAAAGTGTTTTCCAGAGGATCTGTCGGGAGGCTTTAGCTTCTTACTTTTCTGTCTTAACTCTTAACAGGAGAAGAGCCATCTCTGCCTTTGCTCCTGACCTTTGGAAGAAATTACTTCAGAAGTGAGGTCAGCTCCAATCTTCCTGACCTTCCACAAGAGTTTAAAGACTTGGTTCTGTCAGCTGGCTTGGGGTTCTAATGACAGAGCTTCACGTTGGGGCTGGTTGACAGATTAATAACGGATCCCCCCCACCTGCTCATTCTACTCCCTCTCGTCTGATCTTTTAGTTAGGGTTGTGTATTTATTTATTTTATTATTTTGTTCCTACTGTGTTTAGGTTTGGTAAGATGTTATCTTCTTACCACAGATAGTCCTCAACCTACAACTACAATTGAGCCTGAAATTTCTGTCGCTAAGTGACATGTTTGTTAAGTGAATTTTGCCCCATTTTACGACCTTTCTTCCCACAGTTGTTATGTGTATCACTGCAGTCGTTCAGTTAGTAACATGGCTGTAAGGTGAATCTGGCTTCCCCATTGACTTTGGTGGTCCAGAAGGTTGCAAAAGGGGATCACATGATCCCAAGACACACTGCAATCGTCATAAATATGAGTCAGTTGCCATCCAGATGCTGCAAGGGTCATAAGTGTGAAAAAATGGTCATAAGCCACTTTTTTTCAGCGCTGTTGTAACTTTGAACGGTAACTAAATGAACTGTTGTAAGCCGAGGACTACCTGTATTATAAACAGCCCAGGGTTACCTTGGGGTAAGATGGGCAGTCAATAAATTTAATAAATAAACAAATGAACCAGAAGTCAAAGGGGTAGTATTTGCTTACTGCATTGGCAGGAAAAGCTCTGATCATCACAGCACTGAATCCCTTGTACAGAGACATCACTCCCTCCTCTCGAACAAGCTCTCGCAGGACATCTCTGAAGCCATTGGGATATTTTCCCGGAGGAGCTGTTGAAAAATGCAAAATACTTTTCATGAACCTCATCCACCAATAGCCTTCTCTGCTATTGCTCCTGCCCCCTGGAACATCTTGCCCCCCCCTTCCGATGTGAGATGGGCCCCAACCCTCCTATCCTTTTGTAAAGGCCTAAAGGCCTGGCTCTGCCAGTTGGCCTGGGGTCCCAATGGGGGAACAGCAA